CAAACCTTTTTTTTTTTTTTTTTTTTTTTTTTTTTCCTTGTTTGTGAACTCCACATTTTATTCTTTGAATCTAATATAAGAACTATATGAAAGCAAAATATTTGTGCTCCAGAATTAAATTATGTTTGACCTATAAAGTAATTTCACAACGAAAAATTGTCACACGAGTCAACAAGTAATTTAAAGTTACGTTTTTGTTGTTGCAGTCATTAATTTCTAAAAAATTAAAATAAAGTATATACAAACGGGATATCAGGAATTATGATATAGGCCTATATATTTTCTATATAGTATTATAGTAATAATATTTCATTTAATCTATAAAAAAATAAAAATATAACATTTAAGTCTACCACAGTGCTTACGAAGAGAGACAACCCCGTTCAAGTGAAATTACATGAATATTACTGAAGGTCAAGCGCGCATGATTGCAACAGTCACACCGAACCGGACGGAAACACGCCTAGTGTGCATGTCACGTGATGTAACCTGAGCAGCGTCTGCAGGTGATCAATCAATACTCAGGCTAGAGTTTGCGCTTCGCTCAAGCTCAATCACTTTAATATCTAGTTTACCAATAGAGGTCTGTGCGTGTGGGCAACACGATGGCTGAAGATTCCTTGTTTGTCAGTGATTACGGTGGGTGATTTGCTGTAAATTAGTTGATTGACTCATTGTTTTTGAAACCGATAATTGTCTAACAGGTCTAATGGTTTGATACTCAGGGCGGAGGTTCAATTTATTCTCTAATTAGCGGTAAATACGCACGTGAAGAAAACGTCACGTTTCACACCTTTAAGTAATGTTTATAACATTAATTGGATGATAAATCTCTGGCAATAATATTTTTCTTGTTCCCACCACACAAACGTTTTTTGTAAATGCTCACGTTCTTTGAATACAAATAGAATTAAGCGCATAAAGACCTTTGCGTTTTTGCAGTTTTACATTGTAAAAGGTCTGAACTGCCATGACTGATAAGAATTTAAGATGAAGTTAGAAAACGAGTTTATTTTTTGAAAGGAGAACCATGTCTCAAAGTTAAAGGAATGGTTCACCAAAAAAATTTTTTTTTTTTTCATCATTTACTCACCTCATCTCCTTCTGGTTTGATACTCAGGGCGGAGGTTCAATTTATTCTCTAATTAGCGGTAAATACGCACGTGAAGAAAACGTCACGTTTCACACCTTTAAGTAATGTTTATAACATTAATTGGATGATAAATCTCTGGCAATAATATTTTTCTTGTTCCCACCACACAAACGTTTTTTGTAAATGCTCACGTTCTTTGAATACAAATAGAATTAAGCGCATAAAGACCTTTGCGTTTTTGCAGTTTTACATTGTAAAAGGTCTGAACTGCCATGACTGATAAGAATTTAAGATGAAGTTAGGCTATATCTAGAAAACGAGTTTATTTTTTGAAAGGAGAACCATGTCTCAAAGTTAAAGGAATGGTTCACCAAAAAAATGATTTTTTTTTTCATCATTTACTCACCTCATCTCCTTCCAAACCTATTAGACTTTCCTCTGAGGAACAAGATATTTCTTCTTCTTTGTCCCATACAATGGACATCAATGGTTACCAAAACAGTGTGGTTACAAACATTCTTTAAAATATCTTTTGTGTTCTACAGAATACAGTTATACAGGTTTGGAACAGCGTGAGGTTGAGTAAATGATGGCAGAATATAATGGGGGGAAAAGGCCTTTGCAATCAAAGTCTGAGAGTTCTTAATGTAAGACGGATAATAATGCTCCTTTTTTGATAGGATGCAGAATCAGTTCTGAATTGATGAAGAGTTCATTCATATCATTCTTTTCTGGAATTATATAATTGTCTTTTTTATACCATGTCATATTTACAGATGGTCCATGTCCTCTGTGTGAGGAGGATGAGCAGAGAGGGTATTGTAGATATGGAAACACTGAGCAAGATAATGAGAGAGAAATAAACAGTGATGTAAAAGAGGTGGAAGACAAGGAGTCACATGAGTTCAAGAGGGACTCTCAGGTGAAACTAGAGGAAATAACTGAGGAGAATTGGACAGCAGGTCAAGAACCTGAAGATAGGAAAATAGAGATGGAAGAGGAAGAAAACAAAACTGAAGACGTCAAACAGAAAAATGAAAAAGACACAGAGGATGACGAAGAGACAAACAAGAAAGTAGATCATGTAGAAACCGGTGAAAAATATATCAAAGATGAGCAGGAAAGTACATTAGGTTTCAAAAATGATGAAACAAAGACTGATGCAGAGGCAAACGACTTGCTGGTGCCGCCTCTAGAGGATGACTGTATTTTGCAGATGGGCCCAGACTGCACCATAGACCTGGTGATGGTGTGTGATGAGTCGGTGGAGAGATGTATAAATGAAGACCTTTTGTTATGCCCCCCCAAATCTTCAGATCTGCCCCAGCAGCCCCCTATAATATTCCCACCCAGACCGTTATCTATCACATTACCCCCTCAAAATACCACAGTACTCCCCTTTCAGCCCCAGTCTCTACTTCAACCTCACGTCCCACCACAGGCCCAGCTGGAGGCCCCATGCTTGGGCAAATGGCCCTATGGAAGCAGCACCGATGTACCCACCGGACAGCTGGAGGTGACGCTGCGGCAGGTGTACAGCACTCGCCGCTACACCCGTTTTGCCAGCAGAGCGGCCCCTCTCATACCTCTGGCCTCAGTTGGTGGACAAACCAGCAGTCAGGCTTTACCCTCTATCAGCATGGATGCTCCTCTAATGCCTCCGAAGAAGAAAACCCGCACCTTCTACAGCACCGGTGAGAGAACGTACATATTAAAGGCATAGTTCACCCAGAAAATAAAATTCTGGCATCATTTACTCAGTTTCATGTCATTTTAAACCTGTATAACTTACTTCTGCAGAAACACAAAAAAATATATTTTGAAAAATGTCTCTGTGTTTTTTTTTTTCATCCATACAATATAAGTCAATGGGGTCCAATGTTGTTTTGGACCCCTACAAACTTTCTTTGTATGGACAAAATATCTTATTCTGTGTCCCACGGAAGAATGCTTGTATTTAATATAGTGTTTATTGTGTATATAAAGAAGTCTCTTATGCTCACCAAAGCTGCATTTATTTGATCAAAAATATAGTGAAACAATAATATTGTGAAATATTATTACAATTCAGAACAACTGTTTTCTATTTTAATAAATGAAATTTCTTCCTGGAATGGCAAAGCTGAATTTTCAGCAGTCATTACTCCAGGCTTCAGTGACACATGATCCTTCAGAAATTATTCTAATATGCTGATTTGGTGATAAAGAAAAAAAATCTTATTATTATCAGTGTTGAAAACAGTTGTGCTGCTTCATATTTGTTTTTAGAAAATGTGATCCATTATTGTTAGGATTCTTTGATAAATAGAAAGTAAAAAAAAAACAGCATTTATTTGAAGTAGAAATCTTTTGTCACATAATACATGCCTTTACTGTTACTTTTGATCAATTTATAAGTATTATTATTATTATTTTAAATCTTACTGGCCCCAAATGTTTAAATGATACTGTATCAGTTTGACAAAAAAATAAAAAAAATGAAGCAGCAAAAACTGTTTTCAACATAGATCAGTTGGAGGAGCTGGAGCGTGTGTTTCAGGACGATCACTACCCTGATGGAGACAAGAGAAAGGAGATCGCTGCCGCCATTGGTGTTACGCCCCAGAGAATCATGGTCACTGTTCATGGGCATCCATTCCTTAGGATCTCATTAAATGAATCTAAATGCATACAAGTGTCAATAATTGTTCTCTGATCCTCACATCAGGTGTGGTTTCAGAACCGTAGAGCCAAATGGAGAAAAACAGCAAAAAAAACTCCAGCTAGTCAGGGTCAACCTTCTGTCCAGGTCAACAGGTAAGTGACCCCACTGACGCAATGCAGCTAACATGCTGTGTGATGCGATGCATATAATTGCTTATATAATTAATTTGTGTGTGTGCAGGTCACAAATTCCCTCAGCTCCTGCTGTTACATCTCAGCATGCCAAACCTGGAAACACACTTCCCCCCTACAGTACCATCCGGACCAGCTGCACTAGTCCACCAGGTCACATACTCAAACATACACCTAAACAGTTTAATTAAGCTGTATTTTAGGGCTTAAGCTATTTAATTCAATTATGCATTACGGATTAAACTCTTTAGTTAACCTAAGGACTACAGGACTTAAGCCATTTAATTAAACTATTTAATTAGAACAAATTGAAAACGTCAGATATTCCAAATATGGACACCTGTTTTTTGTGCATATGCAATTTTCTATGCGCGTCAGGTCCAGCTTGTGTTGATGTGGCACCTTGTGTGTCTCAAGGAGGTTTTTTGGAGTACATGCCCCCTCCCATGCACAGTCCTCCTCCGATACGGCGTGCTTCCTTGCCTCTCATCACGGCATACAACCCCCCTTCTCATACCGTGTCCCTGCTGCTGGACACACCTGAACACAGTGAGCCCAGCTCTGCAGACACAATGCCACTGAGTTTGCAGACCGACACCGGGTTAGTATGAAACTAGGTTACTCATCCCCTGCATTTCCTTTGTTAACCACTAGACGTCAGCACAGAGCAAAGTGGAGGTGTGTACTACAGTAGAATTAACAGGTGTTCCTGCCACAGACTGCCCTAATATTATTGGAATTCTGCACAACTGGACATAGCGTTTTTTGTTGTTGTTTTTTTTACATTAAATTGATCAAAAGTGACCGTAGGGATATTTATAATATTACAGAAGATTTCTGTTTTAAATCAAATGCTGTTCTTTTGAACTTTCTATTCATTGAAGAATTCTGAAAATATAATACAAGAATACAACAAAATATTAATCAGCTGTTTTCAACATTGAATATAATAATTTGCGGAGCACCAGATCAGCATATTAGAATGATTTCTGCAGGATCGTGTGACGCTGAACACTGCTGAAAGTTCAGATTTTCTATTAAGGAAATTATTTTAAAGTTATTTTAAATTGTAATAATATTTGACAGTTTTACTGTTTTTAAGTAAATGCAGCCTTGTTTAGCATAAGAAACGTTAAGAAAACCTGTTAAACCTGCTATTTTATGTTGACATTTACATTTCTTGCTTATAAAAATGAATATTCTGCTGGGGAAAGTATTTGTATGTAAAACTATATCATAAAATGAACAAGACTGATTAATGCAATTATTATTGCATTAATCAAACACATTCAGACTGCCAATAAATTCTGAGATGGGTTTTTCATTATTAGTATTATTATATCTAAATGTATATAATGTCTATAAGTTAGATATATATAAATCAATTATAATAATAATATTAATTGACGTATTAATTTAAATTTGCATGATTTATCATTATTACTATTGTTATGAATATCAAAGGCCCAACACGATTGTTGGAAATATCACCTATACGTTCAATCAAATCGTTTAATGTCACGTGATATAGTTCCTCAAGTCTTTTTGCTGTTCACAGGTTTGACTATGACGGCTTGGGAACCTCTGTAAAGCTGGACTACATGACTTCTGCTCCACAGAACAGCACTTTCAATTTCCAGCTCAACACATTTCCTCAACAGTCTAACACTTTATTAACTCAGCAGACAAATAGTCTCCTACCTCAGCAAACAAACACATTGTTACCCCAGCAAACCAGTTGTCTTATGCCCCAACAGTCCAGCACAATATTGCCCCAGTACTCCCACCTGTCGTACCTCACGCCCTCTCCCTACCTCACACCCAACCCCACAGAGAGCAGCAGTGCTCCTTATCTGCCCCTCACGACAGGAACCAACAACACTCTGCCCACATACACCAGCAGCGGACATGCGTATCTCCAGTCTCAAACTGGCAACCAGATACTGCTTCAATCAGGAGTTCATGGTAAGTCAACCACATTACACCTTTGGGGAAAAAACATCTTAAAGTAGTAACTTATGTGTTTCTATGAAGCATTTCAGGCTTACCCTTGGACAACTGACATATATAGTCAGTCGGGTCAGTATACACAGGCGGTATTTCGGCCACAGTTATCATCACAGGGTCACGAGAGCCAATACTCCCAGCTCCTGCCCCAGCAGCACTACGTTCAGTTCGAAGGAGCGCCGCCGCAACCCAGCCTACCTAAACCCGCCCCTGACCCCCTTCTGCCCAATGTCAAAGTAGAGTCTGAAGACATGGGCCACAGCCAGCCAATCAGAGTCAGTGAGGCAGAGCCCAACTTTCATTGCGATTTCTCACCAATCAACTTTTAACAACAGCAGGTAATGCATGATTTTCTTTTTATTGTAGTATGTGAATGGAGAGTCTATAAGTACATATTGTGTGTTTTATAATTGCTTGAAGAACAATACAAGTAATTATAATTTTTGGAAAACTAGATCAGGGGTTTCCAACCTGGGGTCAGGGAGCTGACGGGATGCTGGGGGGTGTAAAGACTGGGGAAAAATTAATGAAATAGTTCATATTATTAAAAAACGTATGTATTTCATCTCTCCTTGCAAGGTGCAGGGAGTATTTGTGTTGTATTTGTGTTGAATCTGGATTATTAGAGTTAACAAACTTAAACCATTAAAAAATAATTTTTTGTAAATGTAAATTAAATAAGCATTAACTGAAATAAAACAAATTAAAAAACTTAATAAAAAGACGATATTAGTTTAACTAAAATATCTCAAACTAAAAGTGAAATAATAAAAACTTTAACATGAAAAAGGTGTAATAATAACAACTATGAATTACTTGCATCTTAGTAATACTAAAACAACACTGTGTTGCATCCTTATATTTAAAAAACAAAAAATTGTATAAATGTTTTCTCCGGGTTTATAAATCTGACAGTACAGATAATAATATTTATATTTATTTTGACATTCTAAATGTCAAATATTTTTGTGACAGTCTAAAAGTCAATTTAATTTAATGTGTATACCATTTAAATGAGTCTTGATACTTGAATATTGTCTCTTGTGTTGTTGACTAATATTACTGATAAATGTCTGTGTTGTATTTCAGGGTACTGACTGTGAAGATCTGCAAGCAATATTTTCATTTCTTTATATGTTTGTCTTCTGTTTTTTTGTTGTGGTGTGCAGGAGCTATTAAAATGCTCTTTCACTGATGATTTACTGTGTTTGTTGTTATGTATGTTCACAAGATTTAGTGGACTAGTAAACTAGATTGATGCATATCCACAGCCAGTAATGTATAAGACCTGTTAGTCAATGACACAAATAGGAATCGCAGGGCCCAGGACAAACCATTATGTTCAGACTTCCCTTTTAGTTTAATCACAGATTGAGGGAAAGTATGTATGTACAGTATGTGAGAGCACAAGGGGACGCTGTTTTACAAGAGCATTGATCTAAATTGAGATTGCACAATCCTAGTCTACAACAAATTTCTGAGGTCTTTTTGAAAGTTTTGTTGCATTCAGTTTGTAGCATTCAGTTCTCCTCTTTCACGGCTTGCCTCTTTATACTTACCACGATATACTTTATTCTCTTTCTCCATAGCTTTACTCAACTACTCTCAAGTGGAATTGAGAGAGTGTATTTGTACAAAGAAAATTGTAAAAGATGTCAGAAACATGATCATTACACCACAAACTCAAACACATACGCAAGTACATGCTCTAGTTCCCTTCCACTTCCTGTATCTGGTTGATTGCAGATATGGTGAGAAATGTAGTGTGATAAAAGTAAACGTCGTAAAAAGTAAAAGTAAAAAAAAAATACAGTTAATAATGAATTAAATGATAATTAACTGGAGGAACTGTTATTTATTCATGCAGAGATTTGTTTTTATATAGGCTATGTTTCTTAGATTTGCACAGTTACTTAGTTTTTAAAGTTAGTGGCAAAGAAATGAACATGATTTGGTCAAAATTGTGGTTTCAGTGCCTGATGTTGTGTGTGTGGCCATAAATATATGCTAGTCATTTCTTCTTATCAGTGTTTCATCTATATTTAGGGTTGTGTTTATGATGCGTCAAAATGTGATCTATCCTTCTACAGAATTTAACGTGAAGCCTGAAATAGAGGAACTTCTGATAAAAATCATTCAAATCAGCCTAAGATAACAAAAATAACCAAGTTCTCAGAAAGTATACAGGAAGCCCTGACCACCACACAGGAACTTAGTGTGTTCGTCAGTAACGTTTCAGCTAGTTTGTGTCATTGAGAAAGAGACGAAGAGAAAGATGTCTGGAACACGTACCCTCTGCTGCCATGTCACCACGGCGACCCTCTCATTTGCCATCATATATCTGGTAAAAGCACACACAGACACTATACAATGTGTGTTTATAGTTACAGTTAGTGTCTTTACTGTTGTCCTGTTCTAATCCACTTCTTGTAACTCTGCAGTAACTCAGGTTAGTATAAAATAGCAGGGGAATTCGTTTGCAATAGTTCTAGAGACTTTCCTACTTCCTAGAGTAGATATATCAAAGTTTTGTACTCTGGTAAGACAGCACGCCAATTTGATTGTTGTTGTTGTTGTTGTTTATTCAATGCAAACACTTAATGGAGAAGTTTGTGCATTTACAGGAAGCTGGCGCCATTTGAAGTAACAGTCAGTTACTGAGCCACGGATTGAGATTCAATATGACTCTTCTTTTTAACACAATGTTTGTTGTACATCACTAGCCATCTCTTTATCTGAAGCTGATATTTATTTAGCAACTAATAGATAAGATACATAGAAAGAGATACTAAATGTACTAACTACATACATAGACTACAAAGAAACACTTTCACATCATGATCTGGGGGGGGAAATGAGTGAGAAATCAATGTTCCAATTTGAATTAGAATTTTATAGTACTTTTATGAATACTTAAACCACATTATATAATTGTGAGCATCATCGGTTTAGGAATAAATACGTTTACAGGAAACCCTCTGTCAACCAGACTGTATTTAAGCCTCCATAGGATATCTAGCTGAGGGAGAAGGTTGTGTCTATGTTATGTAATTTACACTTTTACAGGTTTTTCTGAATGAACTGCTGTTCTTGTGTAACTTGTTCTGTTGGTGTTGGCTTGGAGGAGAGAGACCAAACACACTGGCTGCCAGAATACACACAAACTGAGACACACATTTACCTTTATGAATTCATTCTGTCACATTCATTTCATCTGTACCCTCTGTGTGTGTGTGTGTGCTTGTCTCTCTCTAGATTGTTAATGTGCTGAATTTGGTGCGCATCATTCTAATGGTTTCATTGGATAAAGAGGCATTTTCTGTCCCCTATTATGAATCAAAGGCTACCAGGGGCCAGCGTGTCTGTGAGTTCCCTTCACACCACTCAGCCACTTCATTCAGACACTGGTTTCAAAAGTTATATTAATAATGAATGAATTTAATTTCAGTTTTGTCCCAAGAGTTCACATGATCAGTATCAAAAATGTACCATTTGATTAGTGACCGAGAAGTAAAGCAGAATCTCAAATATTAATTTAAACTTTTTCTTTTTCTTTTAATATTTTGGAATTTTAAATTGTTTGGTATATTGCAAGGTTTAAATTACATTTTGAACTGCAGATTTTCATGGACCTCAGTCCCCACTGGATATTATTAATTAATATTGTCTTATTAATAAAAAACAACTTTAGTGTTTAGTTCATCTGAAAAAGGCAGCTTTTTATGAAATCAATATAAAATTCCGTAAATGTTGCATTTGACCAAACATTGTTCAGTATAAGACATAAAATAATTAATCATTTTGCACAACATAAAAAAACATGAAAATAATAGATGAGGTAGAAATAATAGAAGATATTAAATTGGAATCCATTAAAATTCTCTTTCTTTCCAGTTGACATCAGCACTAACATTCTGATGCTGGTTATGATGTCGATCTCTGCGGTGCTGGTCCTGTTCTCGAAACGCAAGGTACTGTGTACATGTTTATTGCCACTGACTGAAAAAGACAGTTCCCATCTGTACTCTAAACATAAATAAATGGAAATTATGAGGGAAAAGCACAGTGATATATTAAGTTTGAGGAATAAATAAACAGGAATAAATTAAAATATGGTTTATGAGTAAAAACAGTGATACATTACAAAATACATTTGAATAAAAATACATAAAAATATAGTCAATGTTTCAATTTTATTTTATTTTTATTTATTGTAAAAACATTAAATATTACATAAGGTGAATTGCATTTGGTAGTTACATACTTACATGATGAAATGATCATAATACCATTTAGGGTCTAGTTTTAAAAAATGACATCTCTTTTTTTGTGTTGTGTTGTTTTGTCAGATGCTTTTTTAATACAGCAGCTTACAAGAACATATTGTGCTAGTTTCATCTTCCCAAGAATACTAATAAAATACAATGCTAAACCACATTTCAACAGAAATTCACAATTTATCTGTTTGATTTATAATGGCACAGTTTTTTTAAGGTAATTTGTTTATGCATGTATTCACTTACAAAAAAATATTTAATTTAAACTGAACTTAAATATTTATACCATTATTATACTATGATTTCTGTGCTGTTTGAACGCACACCATATTTAGCACAACAAATATCTTTAATAAATATTCATTGGGCAGTTTACAAGAACAATAATAAATCAGTGCTACTGAAGTCAAATATACATACTAAATTTGTAATGTAACGATCTGTGTGGTGATACCATTTAAATAAGTCTGGTCTGTTTTTGTTTTATTGGATGTGTATATGTATGTGCGTGTGCGAGTGTGCACCTTAGATTTTTAACTCTGCAGCCGACACCAATATTTACTCAGCTTCCAGAAAGAGAGCTTGTCTCGATATTTATGAAGGTGGTGAAACACGGAATCCTAGTGCTCTCTCCAAACGACACATTTAAAATCCGATCAGCCTATAACAGGGATTTTTTTTTTTCTCTCAATTTCTTACTTTTTTATGTGGAGGTGAATGATTGAATGTGTGATAGAAAGAAAATTCAACACTTGTGTCTCTCTGTATTAGAGCCCGATGTTTGTGCTGCCTTTTGTGCTGATGATGTTTGTGGAGCTGAGTCTGAGTTTTCTGTCCCTGTTTGATGGAGCCTGGGGTCTGCCAGGGACCCCGAGCTACAGAGACATGCTGCAAGCTGTAGTGAGATACATAACATTTTGACACAAAACTAAATGTTGACTTCATGACAACTGCATGGCTATTCAGCTTTCAATTTCAATGTAATTCTACCCAATGAATGTGTACTTGTTTGTATGTCTTTAACAGAAGAGTCAGATGAGAGTGGATAGGTTGAATGAGGAGGAAATTGGCCATTTCACCATGTGGTACTCTGTTCTCTTTATGATGGACATACTGCTGAAGGTATAAACCCTACATGTGTGTGAGAGTTTGTGTATAATGGGCTTCAAAAGTCTCATACTACATTGAAAAACTGGGATTTGAAATCACATTTAAACCAGAAAATATAAGTTTTAGAATTTTGAAATGTATTTGTTAAATTTAAATATTTACTTATCATTACAGCCAAGACACAAAAGTGTTTTTTTTTTATTGAATATTTCAAGTTTATACACTACTTTAATGTTTTTGAAAGTCTCTTATGCTCACCAAGGCTGCATTAATTTGATAAAAAATACAGTAAAAACTATATTGTTAAATTGTGTTGGTCTCTATTTGTATATCCGTATTAGTTGATTTATTTGCCAATATTTTGGAAAGTGTACAATATTATGGAAAGTGTTGTTATTATTATTATTAAATATTACTACAATTTCAAATAACTTTTCTATAAAATGTCATTTATTTCTGTGATGGCAAAGCTGAATTTTCAGAAACCTTTACTCCAGTCTCCAGTGTCAGATGAAATTATTCTAATATGCTGATTTGGTGTTGTTCAAGAAACAATTCTTATTATTATCAGTGTTGAAAAGAGTTGTGCTGCTTAATATGTTTGTGGCAGCCATGATACATTTTAAATATCTTCACTGTCATTTTTTGATCAATTTAATTAATCTTTGCTGAGCAAAAATATTAATTTCTTAAAAAACAAATCTTACTGATCCTCAACTTTTAAATGGTAGTGGATATATGACATGATATATATAATCATCCTATAAAAATGAACTCCTGCAAACACACATACAGCTATATTCAAACAGTGTTGTTGTGTCTGCTGGTCTGATTTGTTCAGTCTAAAGCAAAGCTTTTTTAGCTGTAGAAAAGGGAATGTAAGGGGGATTTGAGGTATGAATGTGATGTATAGAGCTAGTAATAAAGTGTGTTCTGTCTTTGAGAAGGATTTGGGAAAAGGTAGAGGGAAGTTAAACTGCCCTCTGGATGGTTTTTGCATATAAGTGTGTGTTCGTTTATAGGTATAGAATAATTCTGTGCATTTGGGCTTTTATTAGTATCCCTGTGTTTTCTGTGTAGGTGTACGTCCTTCAAGTGTCAATGAGGTGTTTCTATGCCCTGAAGGCAGAAAGGATGGCTGCTGTCGTTGACACTGGAAATACTGTGACAGTGAGTGCATTTATAGCAGAGTTTGTTTTGGTGTCACACGATTCAGCAGTTTTAATGTTGTTGTCTAACGTGTAAATTTTATTTAACATATATATTATAAACTCCAATTCCAAACCACTGCCCATTCCATTCTGCAGACACATTTTTGCAGATGCAGATTTTTGATTGTTTAACACAAATAGATCAACTATATGTTGTTTATTAATAATAATAATAATAATAATATCAATTTATCTAATGTTGTGATAAAACATTTGGATATTTGTTGTGTTTTTGACTAACAGGTGAAGCTGCCTTCTTATGATGAGGCTCTCAAGATGAAAGCAGAAGACACACCCCCTACCTATCATGAGGCTTAAAATTAATGCATACTTTAGGCATGGTTTTATGACGCAAAATGCAAAAAAAACCCCAGTTTAAACCACTATTATTAAGCACAAATATTCACATGCATGCCAACAACCACATGCAACACACAGGCATGGCTATGCTTACATCTTTGTTTTTACACATTAAAAGTAATTAACTGATTTATGTGTTTCTGATAATTGTGTCCTTACTGGCAGGGGAAGCATGGTGAAGGGAGGCAGGCATTCGGTTTAAACAGTAACATTTCTATGATGCACCACTGTCATGCTTATCATTTGGTCACAAGCCAGAAGCTAGATTTGGTTATACGATTATGAGATAGTAACCTGAAGCTGTTTGTGTAAGAAAAGACGGGAAATTGAATCCCTGTAATAACCATTTTAATTGCTTGATATAATTTCATAAAATTCAGATCTTCACATCATCCTCAATGATACATGACAAATTATATATAAAGAATTTTAAATATATATTCATATTTATTATATCCTTCAAATGTTTCAATGTGTTCCATATACTTTAGTTTCCACTTAATTTGGTCTATAGCTACATTTTTTTTTCCTAAAAGAATTATAAAGAGCTCAAGCTTTTTTCCAGGAGACTTGAGCATGCTATAGTGTGGTACAGAATGGTGCAAGAAAAAAACCCTTTAATGTTCTCGTCAAAGTCATTGGCACACGTCACATGGCTTTTTTTTTTTTTTTGGCAAGTTGGGGATGGCTGGGTGCAGGAGAAACAGTATGTGTTCAGAAACCTTAATGGCTGTATTATGCAATATATAAAACAAACACACGCACCTCATTTACATAGACAAACGGGACTACCGGGGAATTATTTTCGGAGTGTTCCTGTGTACTTCACAAGCAGCTTTAAAGGGTTACTCACCCTTATGTCGTTCCAAACTCATTTGACTTTCTTTTCTAGGCAAGAGAATGTTTGAGATGCTTTCTTCTTTACAGTGAAAGTGGATGGTGACCAGGGCTGTCGAGCTCAAAAAACAAACAAAAAAACCCAAAGGTTTTTCATACAATTTGTGCAGTGCATTTCATGAATTTTGAAGGCATACAATAAGCTTTTTGTGAGGAACTGACTGAAATCAAAGTCATACACTGATAATCTTGCTTAACAGCTGTGGTCAGCATTAATTTTCATTTGGACACTCTGCAAAATACCTCTTTTCATGTTCTATAGAAAAAAAGAAAGTCATACAGGTTTAAAAAGACTTGACAGTGACAGAAAATAATGAATGAAATATTTAACTATTTTGTACTTATAGGTGATAATGTGGCCTACGCCTCAAATAGAAATGCTGTATCACACTCAGTGTGATCAAATTTAATCTCACGCACAGACACAGACACTTAGGACAACATTTGCACACGTGAATACTCGCATTTCCAAACAGACATACTAGACAAGGCATGGTGCATATAGGAGAAAAACACAGACATACACGTACACATAGTCAGAACAGAGGCGTCTGTGTTGGATCAGGCACGGAGGCTTCCCACATAATTCCTGGGCATAAATTCCTGCGTGTGTGAGATTAATTTGAGAGGAAACGTGCCCAGAAAAGACAGATTCATCTTAATGTTTATTTGAGTTCAACCCCAAGCTAGAGACCCCTCCTAGGGCTCCAAATGAACTCGGTTTCCCTTACACAAACATATACACAGATCAAGGTGTGTTTGTCTTTCCTACCCAAACTCTAGGATTTTCGGAGCAGGTATCCCCCTCCCACCAAAACAGCCTGTTCACCTCGGGGAGATGGATTTGAGGGTGGCGTTTCGAAACTTAAGTGTGTATTTGTGAATATGTGTGTGTTGATAACCTGTAAGTTTCTCTGACTGTGAATCAGTCTGTCTCTGGTTGTCGAGCAGGTCATTAGAACTCACGCCGCATTACAGTATGACATTGCCTGGGTTTGTGATGCTGCTATGCATCCTGGGAGCTCAAGCCACCGTGGATTTGAGAAATGCTGCTGCTATGGGTAAGAAAACAGACTGCAACATTAACAGATCCTTCAATGTCATGAATTTATCACTGGATACTAATAACCCAATACCAACAGGATTAATGTTTTGTTGTTGAATATGTAAGGAAGGGCAAACTTTATCCCAACTCACAAAATGAGTCTGTCAATCTGGTTCAATTGTGTTCCTTGCTGAAAAGTCATGGAAATGCATGCTGGTTAGTGCTGGTTGACCTGCACGCTACATAGTGATAACTACAAGAAAGAAACTCATACAGGTTTGGAACAACTTGAAGGTGAGTAAATGATGACAGAACTTAAATTTTTGTTCCTTTTAAGCTAGTTAAGAAGCCTAAATGCATGCAGATCAGCATCCAAACACAACATCACCTAAACTTCTCGTTTTCACATTTGCCTGTATTTTTATTTTACACAATAGTTTGGATGATAGAGTTTAATGTTTAAATCTCGAAAAGCATGTACTGTGAAGCCTTAATTTTCTTGATCTAGCATTTTTCTAATTTGAACTTGTTTAGAATTACATTATCTCCTCTTGTGCTCAAAATAATTTTCTGCGTTCTAATGCTATGCTTAGAGAATCTATAATTAAATTATTAGTTTTATTTGCATAGGTATACGTGTTAAAAAATACTAGAGAAACTTCAATCAAGTGGGTAATTAGGGTTGTTTCCAGTGGTTGCACATAACTTGTATGTCCTCTAGGAAAATGTGTTTTTATGGTTTCAAATGTCACTACATTTGTACACAAAGAGGCCCTGTACTGCGCGAGAGTGTGTGTATGCATACCTGAGGCTGAATGTATAATCAATGGGAGTTATTATGAGAACGGCCAACACTGTATATTTATTGAGTTACCTGCAGACTGCAGTCTGGATTTTCACTCTCATTTTCCTTCCCTCACCCCAATTTGTACAATACCATTTAAAAATGTGGGGTCAGGAAGGTTTTTTCTTTTTTTTTTTTTTTAAATGAATACTTTCATTCAGCAAAGATGCATTAAATTAATCAAAAGTGACAGTAAAGACATTCATAATGTTACAAAAAGATTTCTATTTCAAATAAATGCTGTTCTTTTGAACGTTATATTTCATTCTGGGGACATTTTTTTTACCAAAGTTTCCACAAAAATATTAAGCAGCACAACATTTAACATTGATAATAATAATTTAAAAAATGTTTCTTGAGCACCAAATCAGCCTTTTAAAATGTTTTCTGGAGTATCATGTGACATTGAAACTGGATTATTGGCTGCTGAAAATTCAGCTTTGTCATAACAAATATATATTCAAATAGAACAGAATTAATTTAAATTGTAATAATATTTCACAATATTACTGTTTGCTGTATTCTTGATCAAATAAATGCAGCATTGGTAAGCATAAGAGACTTCTCTTCTCCATATATTCACACATATTTAAATATTCTCTTCATTCTTTCCAGCTGCAGGCTTGTGTAACACCAAACCCACTGATGTGGTATTCATCATCGATAGCTCTCGAAGCGTCCGCCCCTCTGAGTTCGAGCAGGTCAAGGTCTTTATGACCAAAGTAATTGACGGTTTGAACGTTGGGCCTGATGCTACTCGCGTGGGTGTCGTAAACTACGCCAGTCGGGTGAAGAATGAGGTCTCTCTGAAGTCCCACAAAACCAAGGCAGCGCTGGTCAAGGCCGTGTCCAAGATCGAGCCATTGTCCACCGGTACCATGACCGGCCTTGCCATCCAGTTTGCCATGAACGTGGCCTTCAGCGAAGCCGAGGGAGCGCGCAAATCCCCTGACATCAGCAAGGTCATAGTCCTAGCAATCCCATAAAACCACCATATTGGCATCATTAACAGTGTTAAGCCTCTTAAACATGCATCTTGCGTTACGTAATCCGTAATGGATAAATTAGGCACAGGCGAACATATGAATCTACTATTATGTGAGCAAATCGACAGTTTTAGATCAATTTAATAAAATATGTCATCAATAAATATTTACAGGTGGCCATTATTGTGACTGACGGCAGACCGCAGGACAACATCCGTGACATTGCAACAAAGGCGCGGGAGGCCGGCATTGAGATATTCGCCATCGGAGTGGGTCGCGTGGACATGACCACGCTCAGACAGATGGCCAGCGAGCCTCTCGAGGATCACGTGGACTACGTGGAGAGCTACAGCCTCATTGAGAAGCTCACCAAAAAGTTCCAGGAGGCCTTCTGTGGTAAGAGGAAGGAGGAGGGTGAGAGAAAGAAAGGGGAGGGAATAGAGGTCTGGAGACTGTCCTCACCATGGCTGCTGATTTTAAAGGTGTATATAAAACAGAGGGCATGAGTATCCATAGGGCATGTTATCATTAATCTCACCTCCAGACATAGATCTCCACCCTGTGCTTGATGCTCCACAGCACTCGGTTTTCTGGGGGAGGAAGTAAAAGCATGTGTAACCACTGATGTGATTTGATGTGATCAGTGATGTGCACTGATCGCTGCAGTGCAGTGGTTCTCAGCTTGCTGATATTAGAGAGTTTTCACCCAATTTCAAACCTTAAAAGGTTGAGAACCAATGCAGTAGAAAGTCTGGATCAGAGCAACAGCCACCTGAGACAAACAACATTGAGACTAACACCAAAATTAGTATTTTTGTGAAGGCTTCAGGTGCCTGGGTCTCTGACATATTTCTGTGTGTTTTAAAGATTTGCTGTTCATTTGAGTGCAGCGGATTGTTAAAACGCATTGATTTTCTTGAGTTCCCACTTCACATAGAGTAATTCTCTCCTTGCTAACCCTTCCTTCCCCCACACGGTGTGTGTGTGTGTTACATTCATGGTAGCGGTTGTGTCGGACCTATGCGTGACAGGCGATCATGACTGTGAGCACATTTGCATCAGCACACCCGGATCTTTCAAGTGTGCCTGCAGAGAGGGATATACACTTCAGGGTGATGGCCGATCATGCAGCGGTGAGTATGTATGAATGTTAGGTAAGTGTCAAAGACATAAGTAAAAGACTTCATAGCCATGTGCCGTTTTTGATGTACTGTATATAAAACCCCTGCTTTAAAGATGAATCATCTTCTTAATGGCCAAGAAACATATTTTATTTTTGAAAACTAGGGCCATGAATAGAATAATTAATGGGATTTGGGGGAATTTTATATTTATAAATAATTACTTTCTTATATATATATATATATATATATATTATAATTATTATCTTAAGCTTACATGTTGACAACCCTACAAATGTATTTTGTAAAATCATTTTGTTTTTCTCTCTCAAATTTTTGGTTGACCCCCAGCACCCTCTCGCGGTCCCCTGGGGGTTCCTGGACCCCAGTTTGGAAACTCATGAGTTAACATAAACATCCTCTGTCTCTCTTATCCCAGCTTGCAGTAACGCAGCCATAGATGTGGTCTTCCTGATCGACGGCTCCAAGAGTGTGAGACCAGAGAACTTCGAGCTGGTCAAGAAATGGATCAACCTGATCATCGACAAACTGGACGTGTCAGAGACGAACACCCATGTGGGACTGGTGCAGTATTCCAGCACTGTGAAGCAGGAGTTCCCCCTGGGACGCTACAACAACAAAAAGGCCCTGAAAGAAGCAGTGAAAAGGATGGTCTATATGGAGAGAGGAACCATGACTGGCCATGCCATCAGTTTCCTAGTGGACAATAGCTTCACTCCTAACCAGGGCGCCAGACCTGGAGTGGCAAAGGTCGGTATTGTCTTCACTGATGGCAGGTCACAAGACTACATTGGAGACGCTGCCAGGAAGGCCAAGGAGAATGGTTAGGAAAAACACACACACACACACACACAGAAATGCAATGCACAGAGCAATGTGTATGAGTTCTGAGTGTTTTACAGTGTGCTGTGTCTGTGCTTTAGGCTTTAAGATGTATGCCGTGGGTGTTGGCAATGCTGTTGAGGATGAGCTGAGAGAAATTGCCTCTGAACCTGTCGCTGACCATTACTTCTACACGGCTGACTTCAAAACCATGAACCAAATTGCCAAGAAGCTGCAAATCAATGTTTGTCAAGGTAAATAAAATCACACACACACACACACACACACAATGAATATGACCTTCAAACTAGCATTTCATCAACTGAGTTTGTTTTTGCTGTCCTGTTACTTGCAGAGGAAGATCCCTGTGAATGTAATTCCATTGTCAAGTTCCAGAAAAAAGTGGAGGAGGCACTACAGGCATTAACAAAGAAATATATCCTTTCCTGTGTTCGGGTTAAACATTTACTCTACACAAATTCCTATTGTGCTCAATATCAATATTGACTTACAGAATGCTGAGAGGTGAGATGTGCCTTTTTAAGAAGGTTTTGAGATAAAACACATTTGAACCATATTGGTTAAAAGCTGATTTTTATTGGGTTTAATGGATATATATCTGCCAATATTGGAAATCTAATAATGCATGATCGTTTTCACCTATTTGTACAAGTAATCAAAAATATAGTATATACAATATTGGTCATTTACTGGTTATCATCCATAAAAATGAAAATCATTATCAGCTTATCAAAATGACCAGAATTTTAGTAATGATGCATGTCTAAAAGAAAAATGTGTAGGTATAGACAAAAATGTATAAAGCATCAGAATGTATGAGGCATCAGAAATGTTTAGAGCTGGTTAGGATGCTACTATTGCATTATTTCCTTGACAACAGCATCACTGGAAGCTGTGACGAAAAGGATCGCTGCCTTGGAGAACAAGATTGTTTGAGAAGGCACCAACATCTAATTCTCACACTGCCATCCCTTTCTCTTCTTGTAAAAAACACTTCCTGTGACCTCTGACCCTAATGCTTAAGTTCCTCTCCTCCACTCCATTTCTTTCTGCTACTTTGCCTTCATTACTATTGTCTATGGGGATGGAGCACTGATTGCGATGGTGACCATGGTTTACCTGACCATGCTTGCTCCGAATTATGGTCACCATAAAAACTGAAGGTGTTGATTTTCAAACAGCCATCCCCCCTAACAAAACACTGTGTGCGTTGAGTAAAAATCTACCTATATGGTCTGAGATGATCTTCACATGCAACCTGGACAATAATGTCTTCCCTGTGGGGAGGTGGTGTGTACATTAAATCCAGTGAAGTTTTCATTCTGTCTTCGCTTTTCTTCATTCTACCTTTCTCAAACACATTCTTCCAGATTTTGCCCCAAAAATATAATTTTATATGGAATATATATATAATGGTAATTTAATATAAGATTGGACTTGAAATAAATGTGTGAATGTTTGATCATTTTCTCAAATAAAACACTCCATGAAGCACACACAAAAGCAGACACAACACACACACACACACGTAACTCACAGGCAAACTTTCACTGACTCGGCAAGTGCTAAACATACCGCTTGTGTTGATTCAATAAAATCCCATTTTGTGTCTGTGTCTTTGTTTGTTGTGTCCTTGTTTTTGTGTCGAACAGCTGTGCTTTAGGCTTGATTTCACTTCAATGCAAGGTTACACAAGAATAAATGTTTAATATAATTATTAAAGGAGCCCCAGGTACAGAGGGATGTAGTGTAAGCATAAGGGTCTGTGTACCTGTATAGCAGCTGTAGTTATATAACATCAGCATTCAGCAGTAATGAAAGGTTGTAGATGAAGTGAATGAGGCTTTCTCTCATCAACTATAGAGTCTTCTCTATTACACTTCAATATCTTTTTTCTGTAAGACCCAATTTTTATGTTGGATACAACACAGTTGTAATTTTTATGTTCAATGGTAAACCCATAACCCTTATTTAATATAGTTGAGGCTGTTTTTTTTAAACCTTACTTAGTTTTGTTAATGGTTTCTGAGGCTAAGCAAATTGGTCTATTATGGTTCCTAGCTGGTTTGAGCCAGGCATTAATTCACTGACCAGCAACCATGTTTGACCACTTTAAAGATAGATTCACAAATAACCTGCCTGATCTGTCTCAGCTGCTCAGTGTTCCCATAAACACAAATGAACTAGATGAAATAACTAGCAGCATGGGCACAATCTTCTCTAATACATTAGATACTGTCGCACCTATCAGATTAAAAAGGGTTAGAGAGAAAAATACTGCACCATGGTACAACAGTAATACTCAGGCTCTAAAGAGAGAAACTCGTAAACTAGAGTGCAAATGGAAACCACCCCATATAGAGGTCTTTAAAATTGCATGGAAAGAAAGCAAATCCCGCTACAAAAAGACTCTAAAAGCAGCCAGGGCCGAGTATTTCCACAAACTCATAGAAAATAATCAAAACAATCCAGTCGCTAGACTAACAAATAAACAGAAATCACCTGAACTGAACATTCCATCACAGTTTAGTAGTAATGACTTTATGAATTTCTTCACCGAGAAAATCAAAACTATTAGAAATACAATTCTAAATGTACAAACTTTGACTGCGTTTTATGATCCAGCCTCTGTTACTGCCCCTAAAGAACAATTACAGTGCTTTACAACTATAGGACAAGAAGAACTAAATAAACGAATCATTACATCTAAACCAACAACATGTTTACTAGATCCCATTCCCACTAAACTATTGAAAGAGTTGTTACCTGTAGCAGAAGAGCCTCCTCTCAATATTATTAATTCATCTCTATCGCTAGGTCATGTTCCAAAACCATTTAAGATGGCAGATATTAAACCAGTTAAACTCTGCGGACCCGGATACGGGTCCAAAATCGCGTTAAAAATGTGTATGCTTCATTTACATAGCCTTCCTTATATGGTATCAGCCCATATATGGGTTCATTTGAAAGCTTGGAGTGTCTTCTTTACAAAGAATACCATTCTTTTTGGTTTTTATATTCATAAAGCAGTAAAATTAAGCTTAGAAATGTATTCGTCCCACACACGATTTTCCGCCTAACCATTGAGAAATTTTTTTACGAAGAATGTGTATTTTATATATTTTTCACAAAAAAGTCAAGTCATATATCACAAGAAAGCAATCATTCTCAGGAATTTGACGATGTAGATTATTTCATTAATTCATAATGAAATTTATTCAATAATTCATCCAATTATTTTCATTGGATTTTTTTATGTGTAACATTCCTACTCGTAGCACTGCTTCAGTTAGCCGCAAACAGCCACAAATATCTATATACTCTATATTATCTTTTAGATTAGGATCTCTTCTTTCAAACAAGACCATTTCCACGTTTCTGCGTGCTTCCATCGGTGAGATATATAGCGTTTTGTCCAGATTGCGCAATAGACGCGCTTCTGCCAGAGACGCGCTCTCCATATCATAAGTGCGCACAGCCAGCGCGTCTGATGTTTTAGAGATCTGTGTTCGCTTGTGGACTGCAACTGGTCAGATTACATGTCTCTCAACTCAGCGGCCATTTCAGAGCCGTGAAATTTGACACCTCTGAGTCACTAGCGGGGGAGAGGGGGGTCCTGCATCCGGGACTGTTCCTCTCGGCTGTTTTTGGGTTCTGTAGTTTTTTGAATGCGTTGAAGGCGAGATCACTCACAGAATGGATACTGCACACGCGTCTCGGATTATATCAATCTATGTCGTCCCACACACGAATTTCCGCCTAACCATTGCGAATAATTTTTACGAAGAATGTGTATTTTATATATTTTTCACAAAAAAGTCAAGTCATATATCACAAGAAAGCAATCATTCTCAGGAATTTGACGATGTAGATTATTTCATTAATTCATAATGAAATTTATTCAATAATTCATCCAATTATTTTCATAGGCGAAAATACCAAAAAACGCCCTGAGCTTAAGTGGTTTTAAGCCTCTCATTAAGAAACCGCAACTTGATCGAAATAAATTGGCAAATTACAGACCCATTTCAAATCTTCCGTTTATGTCTAAAACATTAGAAAAAGTTGTGTCCACTCAGTTGTACTCCTTCCTGCAAAAAAATGACATCTATGAACAATTTCAGTCAGGATTCAGGCCTCATTATAGCACAGAAACTGTGCTCATTAAAATTACAAATGACTTACTTCTAGCTTTTGACCAAGGATGTGTCTCAATACTAGTTTTACTCGATCTTAGTGTCGACACTATAGACCATGACATACTCTTAGGCAGACTACAAAATTACACTGGTATTCAGGGACAGGCATTACGGTGGTTTAGATCATACTTAGCAGACCGTTACCATTTGTCTACTTAAATGGTGAAAAATCCAAGTTAACATCAGTAAATTATGGGGTGCTGCAAGGATCCGTGTTAGGCCTTCTGTTATTTTCAATATACATGCTGCCACTTGGCAACATAATTAGAAAACATGGAATTAGTTTCCACTGCTATGCCGATGATACTCAGTTATATATTTCAACAAGACCATATACTGTACATTTCTAAACTATCCAAGTTGACAGAATGTGTTAAAGATATAAAAACAATGGATGACCAGTAATTTTCTTCTATTAAATTAAGACAAGAGTAAGGTATTACTTATTGGACCAAAAACCTGCACACAGAATCTCTTGGAATACAATTGGCAACTAGAAGGATGTATTGTTATGTCATCATCTGCAGTTAAAGACTTGGGTGTTATATTAGACAGCAACTTATCTTTCGAAAATCATATTTCATATGCTACAAACACAGCCTTCTTCCACCTCAGAAACATTGCTAAGCTATGGAGTGTGTTACCTGTTTCTGACGCAGAAAAGCTAGTTCATGCATTCATGAATAAGGCACTAAATGGTTTAGCTCCTGTATATTTAACTGATCTTCTTATGCCCTATAATCCATCACGCTCTTTAAGGTCAAGAAACTCTGGACTTTGAGTAGTACCTAAGTCAGGGTCGGCGCCAGAGCGCACAAAGTGTTTCCAATGAATGCAGTAGCTTAGTGTGCGCGTGAGGCGCTGGCGCCATCAAACAGCTGAAACATAAAATAGACTACTTCGTAATTTTGGTCATACAGTAAAGGCATAATTCGAAACTGCAAAGTGCAAAGTGTTAGCAGTTTTAAAATTCAAGAATATAGCAAAGTTAATAAGAATTATTTCTAAATGCAACATTTCGCTTTTAATCTGTGTATTTAACAGCCTGGGAGACCTTCTTAGGGCAGTACCTTGCCTCACCGACTAAAATCAGGGTGCCCACTACGGAGACGGCACCAGAGGTGAGGGGGCACAGTGACCGAGGTGGCCGGGCCGGGCCCCCTCAGGCCCCCCCGTGGCGCCGACGCTGTTAGCCTAAGATATCTAAGTCCACTAAAGGAGGGAGATAATTTCCCCATCTGGCATCTAAACTCTGGAATAGTCTTCCTGCTAATGTCGGGGGCTCAAACACACTCTCTCTGTTTAAATCTAGATATCTCTTCAGCCAAGCATTCGCATAATGAATCTCAATCTCACCCTTGTTCCCATAGATCAGATAAAAGTCACAAACATATTTTTTGCTTGAAACGTTATGAACAGCAGCTATGCTAATACTTTTCTATCTGCCTTTCTGTTCCTACCCCGGGATACCCATCTCGAGGTATAAATTACGCCTGCTCCAGCGTGGATCCAGCCTCATTGAAAGACTTCAGATGATCCAACGCCTTTGAAGAGATGATGCTGACCCCAGCGAGGACCCCCGATGACGCCAACTTGAATTGACAAGCACAGATGCCAAAATCTCTATATTGTAATCATTATGATCACACTTGTAATAATCGCTTTAATGAACTTCTGCTTAAAATAAAAAATTGTCTGAAATGGATTTAGGAATAAATATAATATTTCAAAAATGATCTAACATCCACTTTCATTTCATCAACTATGAAAGCGTCAAGACGTTGTTTTGTTTTTACCTAACGTTAACCCTAAAAGAACCAGGCCCTCAGATACGTCAAGATGATCGCTTACACTTTGGTTTATACAGCAGTACCAAAATGGCAGGTCATAGGGCCTACATGATGTCAACACAGTATACCCGTTTACAGCTGGAGCCGGGAGCTCTGATCTCCGTTACCGGCGGGTTGCGTCATGCTGCGCCGGAGAGGTGATGCAAGAATCCGGCGTTGTGTGTTCACGAACGCCACGCCTCCTCCCGGTGCCGTTTCCTGCTTTCCAGAAGCCAGATTCTTACAGGCGCAATGAAGTCATAGTGCACAGACCCTCCGAGACTTTTCATCGTCATTATTGTGCTAAAACTGTGACTTCTGAACACTTATATTCGTCAGATGAAGGTGAGTTCATTTATCCGGTCTGACTGAGTCACTCTTATGTCTGTGTCGGTGAGCCTGCGTCTAGTATTGTCTGTTTGTATAACGTTACGCCTCACGGATCAAGTTTAAAGTCTTGATAAAGGTCCATTTGAGCCAGGGATGTGCATTTAGGTTCCCAATTGTTCTATTGAGGGAATCTGTTAAAACCGTTCACCAAACTTGATTAATTTTTAATTTACGAATCGGACTGAATCGGCCCAGACTCCAGACCGTTTCGCGTTAACAACTCACTGACTCACTGAGCCAAGAGCCGTATCCTTCGGTCAACCGTCGGACAACGACAACCGATAAATGAGTTGCTAACAGAATTTGGGGTGAACATTTCGAGGCGAGAATATAGCTTAAAATAAAACGTATGAAATATATGATAGCTTGGTGCCAGCTATATTATGATAATGCACCTATAATATCAATCTGATAGGGTTCATATTTTTCCAAACTATTTAACTGGACAACAGAGGGCTTTATATTTTCTATATCTTTATTGCTATCTATTGTCACCATTTTTTTTTCTCAGGAGGAAGCAGGAGTTGACCTGCCCCAGCCGTTGCCCTCTGGGCCCAGTGCCTTTATCCAAATTGAAGAGGTGTGTGTGTGTTGTTTTGATGCATGTTTGTGGTATTTGTCTTCACATTCAATGAATGCAGTGGCGTTGTAGGTTGATGAAAAGCTAATAATTAATTATATACTAAAACTGTGATAAATAAAAACTTTTGAAATAAAAAAATATTTTATTTGTTTTCCTGCATGTCATGTGACTGTTAACTGACATAAGACTACTGTGAATGTGCAAATGTGTTGTTAAATTATTTAAAGTACTTAAGGAGGTACTTCAAGTAAATATTTTAGGTCAAAACTTGGCTGACAGAAAAATTTGGGAATCCCTGCTTTAAGGTGCAGCCACATTTTATGCAAAATTTCACTGGCAATAGTCAATAATGTAGTGATGTTTGAAACACTGCTCACACAGAAGTCACTTTCAAATCAAGCAGCTTACTGTTAGTCAGCATGACAAATTCACATGAGCGAAATCTGTGCGGGGAACTTTTTCGCCCTCATTTGAAATGCCTGAACGTGCGGATTCCTATTGAAATGACTGAATTTGCCCATTCATTTTACTGAGCAGCAGTAAAAGTGCATCTTTAGATGATAGATATAGTATTGTTGTCAGTGTTTACAGAACAAAAATGAGTTCTCTGCATATGTTTGTTTCAGATTCTAGAAGAAGGGGCAGCACAGGAGGTGATGTCAGAGGCTCTGTTGTCAGAAGGACGTGTAGACCATATCAACATGATGATGGGGCTACATCCCACCTACCTGACCTGCTTCCTGCGAACACAGAATGCTTTGCTCCAGCTGGATGGCCCTCTGCCTCTGTCATGGAGACATTTTATTATCATATTGGTAAGGGAAGAGACATATATTTCCGTTTGGGACATTTAGATTGCAAGTTTTAAATATACACAAATGAGTATATGTTTATAATATACACAACAGTAATTTTCTGTGTCTGTGCAGGCGTCTGCACGTCACCAGTGCTCGTACCTAGTGCAGCATCACAGCTCTGCTTTTCTGCTTGCTGGCGGAGATGAGTCCTGGCTTAGAGGACTTCACTGTGCACCACCCAAAATACAGCACCTAAAGACGCTCAACAAACTGCTTGCACACAGACCCTGGATCATCACCCAGAAACATATACAGGTAAAAAACACAGATCATCAGTGTTATGAACAGTTATCATCAGTAATCATCCTTTCAAAAAGGTATATAGTTCCACTACAAGTTGCTAACAAAAAGAAGCTAGCTACATTGGACATACAATATCTTTATAAATGTAATATCAGAAAATTAATTCTACAATTAGAGCATTTATCTAGAACATAAACACCTGTATTAGGGTGACATCCTTAAACTGAATTATTAATTTTTTTACTTTTTAACATTAAATACTAGATAGCTGCAATCACCAACTAGTACATCTAGAAAATACTAATTTATACAAGTATGAGCATAGACACCTGCAGCATTTAACTGTTTTGTTTCAAAAATTAAGATACGCGTTAGAATACATCTGTGAATTATTGATTTGAATCATTTATTTGATCTTTGAATCGATTCACTAAAGTAAATGTAGTAAAGCTGCACGTACAAAAAAAGAAAGAAAAATTCAGTGATTTGTACAATTCATTTGTCTGTCTACTGTTATTTTATTTGTGTTGTCCTTTGTTGTCTGCTTGTGCCATCTTCCCTGTTGTGAGTTTATCTCAGTTTTATGCTTTATAAGTTAATGCTCTGAGTGATTGTTCTGCAGCGCATTTTACAGATATCCATTAACAAATCCGTTTAGATTTTTTTCAATATTGAGTTTTCACACCATCTTTCTAAAACTCTGAATACTATGATAACACAAACACAAAAATGAAACTTAAGCACTATAGATTCATTCAAGTTTATAACAGAAAGATAAATACAACTCATTATTGAAAAAAGTTTATTTTATATTGTGCAGTCAACACTTGTTTTGTACTACTACTCATTTATGAATTAAGAAGCTTTTAAAAACTTGTTTTAAAAAAACAAAAAACAAATCTTACATATTCACAGGAGTTAGTTTGTCCGGGTGCAGAGGCTCGGTGGTCCCTGGCAGAACTGATTCAGGCTATTGTTTTGATGAGCCATGCCCACTCTCTAGCCTCATTTGTTTGGGGTTGTGGTATTCTCCCAGAGCCCGAGCAGTCAGGAGATCAGTCGCTCCAACTGGGTTCACCCACAGAGTCCTGTTCTGCCCGAGACAAGAGCAGAAATCAGCAAGAGGTATCGAATTGTGACTGATGTATTGATCACAAGTAAGAGAATATTTAGTTTGTTTTGCCCAGGTAAATATCTTTAATGTGTATATGTGTGTGTCTGTGCGCAGTGGTCTGAGGCTGTGAACGAGGTTAAGCTTTTGATGGAGAAGATGATGATGGTTCAGCAGCAAGGTGAAGAGTTTACACAAGAAGAGATGGTTACTCGCTTTGAAAGAGAAAGGACTGAGAGTTTGCTGGAACCTGCTGATGGTATGAACACACATATACATAATTCAATACACCCAAAGGCAGGGTTTCTCCTGGGACAAAATAGCGTTCTGTTGTAGCTTCTGAACATGCTCATTCACATGAGAAGTTGATGAATTACAGTACATCCCGTAAATCTCATTAAATATAATAAAATTTGTTTTAGCTGCCACCAAGTCAAATTTTGGGCCTTCCTGGGCAAATTTTATAATATTGAATGTATTTTGCCATTTTAAATGCCTTATAATGGATGTTTCACATCTTTTTTTTGCTTCCTGTTTCTTCACTGCCTAACCTTTGTCATCTTTTTTTCCTATACAGTTCAGCGGTGTGTCCTTCCTGATTGTTTCTCGCGGTTTGTTGTGGATGCAGATTTTACTTACCAGGATTTTAGTCCTAGAGGAATGCAGGCCCCCCCAACCATGAGAGCTCAGGTTCAATACTCTTAAATATTCTCACACAGTGTTAAAGAACAGTTATGAACAGAAGGCATTATTTTTGCTGAAGTATATAATATGTATTATAAACAGTGTTATTACATCCAGTGTTATTTTAGTATTATTCATGTACTGTTGTAGTAATTAATTAAATAGAAGCACAGGTCCTTAAGAACTGCAAGGCATTTCTGCCTGTCGCACCTCCGCCGGTGTCAATGGACCAGCCACAGAGTCATCAGGGACATCAGCTCTATTTATACAGTATATATATATATTCACTTTAGTTCAGTTTAGCTAAATATTGCTATTTTTTGTTTGAGACTTAGACCTTTTACTACTTCAACTTAAGTGTATTTATTTCAATTAGTTTCCAAGGCAACATTTCAAATTTTTGTTTTTCCATGTAATATTTATATTTTATTTCAGCCTTATTTCAATTACTGAAAACTATTTTTAATCATTTTAGTTAACAATAACAGCACTGGTTATATCATGATCTTTGTTTATGATTTTGTGCTTTCAGGACTATTCGTGGGAAGATCACGGTTTCTCTCTTATGAACAGGCTGTATGGAGAGATGGCACAGCTTCTGGATGAGAAATTTCAGGTGGTGTGTGCGCTCACGTATCACACCATGGCCATGCACTCACATGTGGACACCTCCACACTCCGCAAAGCCATCTGGAACTACATTCACTGCATCTACGGCATCAGGTCAGTCATGCATGCATCATAGTCATGAAACGAGCTTAGAACGTTCACCCATATGGAACAAAGGTTAGGTTAGGGTTATGCTTATATAAGAAGGAAAAACAGTCCTCGCCATAATCATATATAAAGACTGCACATTATGAGGGAAAAGGTAGACATAAAATGCATTACTTTTGGTGGTTAAATTTCTAAAATTGCTCTAATGCGAATCTGATGTGATCTAATGTGCACTTGCATGTCAATGTTCGCCTACACAGGTATGATGATTATAATTATGGGGATGTCAACCAGCTGTTGGAACGCAGTTTAAAAGTGTACGTTAAGACAGTGGCTTGTCACCCGGAGAAAACCACAACAAGAATGTACTTCTCTTTTTGGAGGCAGTTCCGCCACTCGGAAAAGGTACAAGATGTGTGAGATTTCTTGTTGATGATTCAAGTGTATTCATATTTTAATAAGTTGCATTTGCTTCAGCAGTGGTATTGAATTATGCTTGCTCTCTCTTTTTCTGAATTGTTGAATTAATTTGCATTTTGGAGTAATGTTTTAGTGGCCTCTAGTGGTTCTCTTCAGAGTTAAACTTTTTTTGACAAGTTATGCCAGACCAAAAACTCCTTTAAAATGTTTTATCATATGGCCAAGTTTTCATTGTGCCTGGTAACTTGCTTTGTTGATAATGTTACAGTAAAAAATTTAAAATTAAGTTTCAGTAGAGGTTTCATAACAATGATAGCACTGTTATGATGAAGCCTATCTTTTTTTGCTGAACTTCACAAGTGGATTTATCACTTAGGGGTAGTAAAATGCCTGTATATTTCTGGTTTAAGACGTGTTGTTCTTTTTATGCAGGTCCATGTGAACCTGTTACTGATGGAGGCACGACTGCATGCAGCTTTACTTTATGCTCTCAGAGCAATTACACGCTACATGACCTAATATGCGCACAAGAGCTTTAAAACGGGATGACCTGTATACACTATTATACTCTGATTGTAGCGTGTGTTGAGACACAAATTGCACACAATCACACTCTAAAAGTGCAAAGTCTCAAGAGCAATTTAGTTTCATTTTCTCTTTTCTTTGCAATATTTTAGGCTTATGTGGGCTGGTTGATCAGCTGCTACTGGATCATGATTGGATTTGGGAGACAGCGAATTTTGCACATGTCCTATGAGTAAATTTGCTCGTTGTGGTCTTTCTCTTATCATACTGTGAATGTGTCTTTGCCCTGCTGCAGTATTCTGTTCTGTTTGTTTGTGCATTTTGATGAATGTTTATATTCACTAAGATATTGACAATGTTTATATTGACACTAAGAACTCTACATTGCCTATTTCTCTCTCAGATTGAGAGCTGAGTTAATGTGGGCTAAAATGGATGAAAAAGCACATTTGGTTGTTTTTTGTGCATTTTTATGTATAATAAAATATTTTACTATGACATTACTATTTTATTTGTTTGTATGTAATGTCCACAAGGCAAATTCCACAAATGCACTTTTGCCACATGTCCCATGATTTTTTTAAGCAATAAAGGCATGTTTTTGTTAGCCCCCAAATATGCTTGATAAACTATTATCTAATATAAAATTACCATCAAAATGGCTTATAATAACATTATTTGATTTTTTTTAATTGTATACATATTGTCTTTATCTAATGTTGTAAAACTGCACACAAATAAAATCTTTTACACTATTTAAACATTTGACAAGTTGAATTTGCAAACAAAAAGAAAATTAATAGAAAACAACCGCTTAAATGGCAACACAAGTGTCTTAAAATTAAGTACCTCCGTTCACTGAGCATATTTTGAGTTTAATGTAATATTTTGAATTCTAGTCGTGTTAAGGCAATAAACGCATTTTTTTTGTTTATTTCTCAGCGTAACACCCTGAATATCTCCGTTCGCTTGAGCCATGCAGAACTGCACTATCACCAAACAGCCACCAGGGGTCAGTAACGACCAAGAAACGTTTTCCGGTAGTAAGTGGCTTCCAACCCAGCGCGGGTACCTGATAGCAAAGAACTTGGTCTTCTATACTCTTTGCTGATAGTAGTGTTTACAATGCAGCTACGATGTCTGAATATTTTATCGCATTAATATGTTTGCTGCAGTCAATTACCAACGCGTTTTTTTTTTCTAAGAAAATGCCAAGTACTATTCAGTACTATACTCAGTACTGTGTGAAGCATTTAGCAAACAAATATAATTTCCCGGAAATAACTTGAATATGTAGAACTGTGCAGAGAGTAGGTGGAGTAGGCTCGCGCTTCGCCTGGCGCAGAGTGCGCGCGGAATTCAGCCCTTCCGGACACCGCGCGACTCGAGCGAGCGCATCTGCGGCCGGCTGAACGCCGCACGGACACTTGTGTCTGTCTACCGTTCATATCAATTCACACTGTCCTGCCTGATCCACGTCTGTCACTGATAGAAATTCATAAAGGTAGGAATTATTTACTCTTGCTTACGCATTTTACTTACTAACAGTTACTTTTGTTAATAAGAAGTTGATGTGAAATAAAAAGTATTTTTACTTAAGTGCCAAATGTCAGTGGCAGGTTGCATATCAATTCACACTGTCCTGCCTGATCCACGTCTGTCACTGATAGAAATTCATAAAGGTAGGAATTATTTACTCTTGCTTACGCGTTTTACTTACTAACAGTTACTTTTGTTAATAAGAAGTTGATGTGAAATAAAAAGTATTTTTACTTAAGTGCCAAATGTCAGTGGCAGGTTCTTATATGATGGTTGGTCTGTGAGAAATTAACTTGTTTAGTGACATCCTTTGCTCACAGATGCGGGTGTTAACGGGAATAAATGTTTTGTTTAGTGATGCGTTTAAGTTTTCAATTGTTTAATTGGTGTGTGTGTGTGTGTGTTTATATATATATATAACTTTTATTTTTAAATACATGAATGAACAGGTGTGCTTTAACTTAAATTCTACCCATGTTGCACATGGTAAACATATCAGAACCGCAGCAGTCATGTGCTGAAGTCCCCGTATGGTAAATGATTTAGGGGCCCTTGGCTGACTCACTGTCTGCGTAATGAACGTGAGCTGAGAGCCAGCAGGCCTGTCCCGAGTGCTGTAATGCTAATACTCTAATCTGCAGCCATTAGAGAGCAGCAGGGCCGGACAGTTTCCTTTACGAGCAGGTGGACAGACAGGCTGCGGCCGCGGTTAAACAGCCACATCATGACGGTAATGAGGAAGTTAAAAAGCCACTTTACCTGCAGGGT